CGTGGAAGGCTCATCTGAGAAGAATAATTAGTAAGAAAAAAATCCCACCAAACCCTTAAGTAGAAGGCATCTTCCCATATATATCACAGTCAGCAGCACAACTTAAAAGAACTGAAAATCCTGCCCAGAGGGATCCCTCTAAGTCCCACTTCCAGGGACTATGGCTCTATATTACATGAAACTATGCCATTTGAATCAGGATAAAAACTAAAATTAACTTAACAGCTATCAGAGCTGTTAAGGATACACATCACATTATTCATTTAATGCCAGTAATACTCCATTTCATACCTCAACCGCTTATCATTTCTGGTCTGTAAAACACATAGCCCCATTACTTGGAAATTCCTATTTCTAGAATAGGGAAATATAATTTCCAAATATACATTTCCCTCATGCCTCCAGAACAAAGGAGTGACAGTAAAAGCCTTTAAAAGCAGAAACCTGCAGTTACGATACCTGCTAGACCTTCAACGCTTGCTATCTGTGCAGGAAGGCCACCTCCCGCACGAATACCAGAACAGCCCGCGAGGAAGCGGACAACTAACATAGATGAGCTATGGATCACTCAGTTGCCCTTCCATGACACAGGGTAAGATGGATTTATTCAATTTATTCCAAAAGAGACTTGTTTAGCAAGGCTAAAGCCTCAAAATCTTCCACCATATAAGGCCCAAAGCAACATTTGTAGTACTTCACTAGTAACACAGAAACTTTATTTGGGAAAGACGACCTGTGACTGCTGGAACAGAGAAGGCAAATGCAGGCAAACACCTACTTGCACATACGAGCAAGTTACAGCTTTGGGGAGCACCTCAAGGGCTTCAAAGATGGCAAGAGGAACAAGAATAATCTGCTGTCATGGTTTAGCCCCAGCCAGCAACTAAGCACCGCGCAGCTGCTCGCTCACTCCCCCTACCCCGATGGGATGGGGGAGAGAATTGGAGGCGTAAGAGTGAGAAACACTCCTGGGTTGAGATAAGAACAGTTTAATAATTGAAATAAAGTAAAAATAATAACAACAATATACAAAGCAAGTGATGCACAATGCAATTGCTCACCACCCACCGACCGATACCCAGACAGCTCCCGAGCAGCGATCGCTGCTCCCCGGCCAACCCCCCCAGTTTCTATACTGAGCATGACGTCATATGGTATGGAATAGCCCTTTGGTCAGTGTGGGTCAACTCTTCTGGCTGTGCCCCCTCCCAGTTTCTCGTGCACCTGGCAGAGCACGGGAAGCTGAAAAGTCCTTGACTAGCATAAGCAGTACTTAGCAACAACTAGAAACATCAGTGTGTTATCAACATTTTCCTACTAAATCCAAAACACAGCACTGTGCCTGCTACTAGGAAGAAAATTAACTCTATCCCAGCCAAAACCAGGACATCTGCACAGCAACAAGGCAGTTGCATGAAGAACAAACCCCAAACACAGCACTCCTTTAAGTCAATGGAGAATGTAATAAAAAAAGCTCTTTCTCATTTTAAGAATGCACATACCCGACATCACTGTCTACTGTTTGCAACTGGTCCCCAACAGGAGTAATTGGGCAGTGCCTTATGACAGACCAGGTACCCCACAAGTCAAATTTAAAGAGCAGGGCAAATCCCAAAGCACAGGAAGAGAGACACAATGCACACCACCTGCACTTTATCTTGGGCAGGACAAATTAGAAATAAAAATCCTTTAGGTTCTTTCAGATCTCCACGGGATCACCCAAGGCCCTAATTTTACATAACAGTCTGAAGATTCAGAAAAGGCCATTGCATGAATATTCATCCGTATCAAGAGAAGTTAGGTATCCAATGGTATTGCAAGTAGGAACCTCACTGTATCTTTAAGTGACTATGTATCTGCGGGATTTGGCCCCAGGTCCAAGCCACTCAATCCTCCCGGGTCTGGATTTGCACTACTGTAAGAGGAGAACAATACCTCACAGGGCTGTGCAGCTTACCTGCTTAATGCATGCAAAGCTCTTTAGCGTTCTCCGCCAATCCCCTCATAGAGGTGCAAATCGTTGTATTCTTACTGTTCTGGGATAATGGCTTTAATTTGATGACTTACAGAAGGAGGCCTCTCAGCAGGGACATTTTCATCTGAAGGCTCCCTTACCGGGTGCTGGCGGGGGTGAGAATTTTGACAGCATAGCTCGGGGGACAGATGTTGAAGGAATCTCCTTCTTTGCTTCCTGCCCTATCACAACCAGACTGTGATACCTTCTCAAACACAGAATTTGAAAGAGGCACTGGAACAACATGAAAGTGAATAAAGGACCTTGAAATTCATTGTTTAAGCCCAAGTTTGTAATCTGAAGAGGAAAACAGACATTTTCATGATATGGTAGGTTAAAATAATCTTCGTCTATTTGGCTCTTAACATATCATCCTACTCACGCAACACAGTTCATGACCAATCAATTAATGGGACAGCTCACAACGGTTATTCAAAGACCCTTGCTTCTCCTGGGTGGTGTACGCCACCGTGAACACGGTTCTTCGACACTGCACCATGCTAAGGATGCTGCTGGCAGAAAGCCTGTTTAACCCAAATGCTGTTCGCATGCATGTTTGCAATCGTCATTATAAGCACCTGAAATAAGTGACCCATCAGATAACAGGACCAGCTTCTTCCAAACGCATTTTGGAGGTCAGCTCCAAGTATTCAGACTTTTGACTCATTTCTGCAAAGAACATTTTATTGTAACTCTCAAACTAGAAAACATTTATCAGCAAGCATCATGCATTATTTTTTCCCCCTCACAGGTATTTTACACTGACGGCATCATTCACATTGTTATACCTGTAATTTAGTTAAATACCAATAAAACTATTTTCTGGAGCAGATTTCCTATTCAACTGCAAGACCTTCAAGGCTAGCTTAAAGGGCCTCCATACAAGTGGATCTTTTCTTCAAATTTGTGGAAAGAGATAATTTAAATTTTTAGTTACTGTCTCAAATGACAAGATCTATTAGTGGTAGGACATGCATCTCTTGAAATGGAAGCTACTTTCAGTGTCCTTTGAAGTGGCTTCATTAATGCAAATTCTCACTGAAGTGGAGAAGTAAGGAATAGCGAGGCTAAGTAACAGAACCTTTTCAAGGGCAGTATCACAGAAATCTTACTAGTGGTTGAAATAATTCCACTTAAGTTAAAGTACATGTTGGAAACATAGCGTGAACAAAATGCCTGCCTACCTTCCCACTCCCCCCAGAAAAGGGGAAAAAAAAAAAAAAGAAAAAAGGGAAAAAAACCCCTCACCCAACAGAAAACCCCAAAAGATCTTATGTGTCAAAGTTCTAGTAATACTTGTGAGTCATCCCATCACTGGGAACTGCATTTGAACTGTATTTTGAGCTAATTAGAGAAGGAATGCTGTGCATATAGAAGGTCCCATGTGTATGACAAGCAGTTAAAACTGCAGTCTACAGATTTTTGTGTTTCCACGGATTTTTCCATTTCCGTGGATTCTTCCTTTTGTGATATGTGTCTTGTTAGTTCAGGATTAATTATAAAGTGATATCAAGAAACAGAGAACTATTTTAAAAATATTTCCTTTCCTATACTTTGCTGGTTCAAGTCAGTATGCTGATAGTATGTGCACTTCTCCACTTCCGCTGGTAGATGGTGGCGGTGGGGAACATAGCTTATCCCCTCTGACCCAAAGTTGGGAACAGAATGGAAAAGCAAAACCAACCCAACTTATGTTGCATTTGCCTCTGGCCTCATCACTCTGTAGGATGTTTCTTGTATTGAAAGAGAAACCTGGGAGGAAAGGAGGTAAAACAATTGCAGTAAAAAGGAAACATACTAACACCCAATGTAGTTTTCTAAAACAAAAAGCAGAGAACAACTGTGACAGCAACTGGAGTAGCACTCAGGTTTTTATCTTCTCATCACTAGACTCTGGAGCGAACATCAAAGATTAAGACTCCACACAACATCTCTGTAAACAGAGGAGAGCTAAAGCACTACACGCCATTGACGCTTACATTTTTCTAGACTGCTTCTGTTTCATTTTGACAGAAGAACGTCCCTTCAGAAACATTCAGCATTTTTACAGATGTTTACTGAAGTCTGCCAAAACATAACTGTGATCGGAATTACTTATACCAATTCCCTTTTTTCCAACATAGCTGGTTCGGTAACCAGATGAAAAACAGATATTAATGTTTCACTGCAGAATTACAAACACCTTTTTAAATGGAGAAAATATTCAGAAAAAATTAGTCTAAACATGAAGCTGCTGTAGTGAAAGACCAGACCAAGAAAAAATATGCTGCTATGCCTTCTAAGTTGCTTGTATTATAGCAAAGGACTGCTATAATCCTTTTAATAGATGTGATGAAACTCTTAATAGCGGTAAGTATCCCTGAGGAAAGAGATTTCAGGCATAATTTGAGTATCATAGTGGGAAATGACTTTTCAGGCAATGTGTAACAAGATGTCCACAGTCCTGTGAGCGTGACAAAGAAAGAAAAGTACACCTCACCGGGAAGTTTTTCATATGATAGATTCGTATGAAAAACTGCAAGAGAAAAGACCTTTATCAACATAAAATTGCATGAGATGTTTAAAATATTTTAAACCCTCCCAACTCCCAAACCACATCTGTATCATGATTTTAAATACAAACATGTGATATAATCAGAATTATTTGCTTATGTTCACCTCTGAACAACAGCTAAAGGTAAAAACGAAACTAGTAATTCGTAAGCAGTAACTACAGCTTTGTAACAAAAAAGCAGCTTTGACAAGATTTTAGACCTACAGTCTATACAAAAAATAATTTTGCAAAGAAAACCTTAAGATACATTTAAGTAGCAGTTTTAATTTCTAATAACTTTATTTCTAGATCAAAGCATTTACTGGATGGAAATACTACAGATATGAGGAGAAACTACACAAATTTGCACAACATCAGCGCAGCTGCATATACTGAACAGAAGCATAAATGTGACCAAGTTTTCCAAAATTATTCATGGCACTAAACTTAAAGTCAGGTTTTCTTTATCACTAACTTAGTTATAAAGAAGAAAAAACTAAATCCAAGCAATGTTACCGCTCCCATTTTTACTAATCTTTTTTCCAAGATGGGTGCTTCTTCTGGAAGTTTCACTCGGCTGGGGTCATTCTTCTGATCATGCTGAGGCAGATGTTAAGTTAATGTAGAAAGTGCAACAAAGGAAAAAAAGTTAGTGTGAAAGCTTCTTAAGTATGTGATAAAGTACCCAGTTCTAAGAATGTGCATGCATCGAGGATTGATATAATTTCTTTCTCACTGTTTGTCTGTGCCCTACACCAATTGAAGTAAACGTGTGCAAACCTTTGTCTTATCTGGTACTCAATCATTCTGTAATATATATTAGAAAGACAAACTGTTTGTTTACAGACTTAATTCCTCAGGAGTAAAACACACTTGCTAATAGATGCTACAAAAGTCTAATAACAAAACATTTAAACTCCAATGGTCAAATATTTTAACCAGAACTTTTGCCATTTAATTACTAAAACAACTGTTCATTAAAACAGCAAGTTAAATAGGTAACAGATTAGACTTCCTTGAAATTAAAGGGAGAGTGGAAAGTACCTTACAAGTCCCTGCATAAGCACATGTTGAAGCCCAGTGGAGCCTTGTCATGAAGTGCAGCAGGGTTAGGTCCCCATTCTCTACCTTAGTTTATAATGCTTGGAAGGCCATCTCATTCACCGTGCTTTCAAAAATTATATGCTACAGACATAACATGTACTGCTGGCAAAATCTTCTAACGACTAAGCTTAGCAAACGGTACTGAAGATTATAAGGGAATTTATACAAACTTCTTATCTAAGAGGTTAACTGTTTCACTTAAATTAGCACTTTTCATAATAAATGTTTCGGTGCTCTACTCATTCAAGAGTGCCCCACCATAAATTAAGTAGCACAAAAATGTTTTGTATTAAAGTCTTCATCAGTGAAATTCATAAACAGTACAGTATTTTAATAGAGCAGGAATTACATTTTTGAAGTAATTATAAGGCTAATGTTTAACACCTCTGTTTAACACTGGGCACAGAGCCACCATGCTTCATCTTGACAGCTATAAAACCTTAAGTACAGATGACAGCAAAGTCAAGTGGCACCTAACTCAGATCCCCCCCTAGCCCTTACAACCGGCCTGCACATACAGGAGACAAATATATACATACAATTGATTTCTGCATATGCAAAAAAAGGAACACAAATAGATAAATAGGTCTTTGCCACAACCTCAACCGACCTCTTAAATATATTTGGTGTTAAGTGATTTATTGGGGGAAGGCTGTTATATTACATTAAATTTACTTAAACTACAGGAAATTGCATTAGTAGCATTATACTCAAGGTCTGAGTTCCACATGGCTTCGTTCAGCAACAGATTCCTTTCTGACACTGATGCTCCATTTACTCTATCCCAGCAGCCATTCCTTTTACTAGCCTATTACTTAAAATGACCCCATCTGACAAGAGTGTGTCGTTGTGTTGGTTTGAGAATGACTGATGTGGTGCTAACATCTAGCCTCGACCTCTCCCACCCTCTTCTTTTGTCACTCTGCAGAGTTATCTGGGATGCCTCCCATTCAATCCATAAAACTTTAGTATCTTCCTTGTGAGTCAACAATTCCAAACAAAAGATTCCTTAATTAAGAAGTAAGAGTGTAAGTATCCAGAGTGGCATTTATGCCACAGTGGTTGTCCAAGAGCACAGGGAAACATTCCACTTAATTCTTTCCTCTGGTAGAAAGAAAAAGATTGACTGTGCCTGTCCATGCTGCTGTGGAATATTATAGACTATTTCTCATTCTGTCCACGGAAAGGTAGAAGGGGGAGAGGTAGATGCAACGTCCAAACTACAGCTAAAGAGCCTGTGCCAGACCAAGGTATGAAACGTTTCACTGATGGATGTCACATCTGAGGTTGCATGCAGAAACTTCTACACAGTATTTAATAGCCTCACTCGCACACACTCACCTTCTCCACCAGGTCCTTCAGTTTGGTAACTTCTTCTCCCAGCTTTTCCGCACTGCAAACCAAGTCTTTGCAGACTTCAATAAAACTTTCAGTTGGTGCCCACTGCAGTACTATCTGTTAATATTTACAGTTATTTGCCAGAATTACTGTAGATGATAATTTAATATTCTTTAGCTAATGTATCATAAAAGATAGTGTCAGAAAAAGTTTATGCTGGGTTTTCATTGTACAATTTATGCACAGCATGATCTACTACTCTCTATCAGCCTTTGTGGGAACCTTCTGTCACCTTAACTCCCCTATCAGCAGAAACATGAAGAAACAGATCCATCTCCTTTAATTAAGTGGCTTAACTCTCTGAAATAAGTTATTAAAAAAACCTGTCCTTTAGAGAAAGAACATTGGACAGCTCTACATAACTATACAATAATCAAGATGGTTGATGAGTATTCATATTTTTCATTTTACAAGGTAGAATAATATTCTAGAATAGAATAACATACTCTAAATCAATCTTTCTTTCTTTGGTTGAATACCTTGTGAGAATTTTTGAGGAAATGCTGATTCACGGTTTGCAGAGGAACGGTCAGTTTACTACACTCTTTATTCAGCTTCTGAAGAAACTTGAGGAATTCATCGCCACTACAAAAATAAAATGATATTTCGTTATTTGTTAAAGGCTGTAACTTTTTGAAAGCTAAACATTATCTATGCATTTCCAACACTGGCTAATGAGTGAATCAGACATGCAGTTTCATTGCATAAAAAAAAAAAAAATCCAGTGTCATTTTAACACAGGGCAGTTAAACACTACCTTTAACTTAATCTTAGCAAGGTTTTCCCACCCCTATCCCCCCTTCTTTTGGAAGGACAACAAATCATTAAGTTATCTGGAATATTCAGCTAGTAAGACACACTGAAAGCTGAAAAAGTGTCACCCAAAAGCTTTTTGGAAACATTCTATTAACCTCCACTTTTGTTTCTAACTCTCATCAACCCTGCATTATCAATGAAATTATTTCATTACCTGCTGCATAAGTAATTTTGTCACACTATGCATAATAAACACAACACTGTTTTCCTGTGCATATGTGCATACAGATCACAGTCTTGCAACACCAAAACCAGAGAATTTATAGTCAACTTTATGCTGACGTATCAATATTCTTGACCTGTAGCTTACATTTTTGAGGAAAATGGTGGTGGTGGTGGTAAATCTGGTTTGTACTTTGGAGCTAGGACTGAAATAACTAGGTTAGAGTCATTTAGTCTCCAGCACAGCAGAAGAAAGAATAATCTAGTAATACTGACCTGGCCCCTGGACCTGGAAATATATTCCTCAAAGCCTAAAATACCTGATGTTATCCACTTTGAAGAAAATTTATACTTAGTGGTGAAATACAAGCAGGAAGACAACTCTGAAAATTAGTTTGATCAGTATTGCCAAAGACTGGAGAAAAGAATAGAAAAATTTAACAGATTCATTTCAGTGCTAAGTTTCTAGAGCTTCCACATGACACTGACTCAATTTATTTCACTGTAAGCCTCAGACAGTACTAGTTTAAGTCATGGTGCTGACCAGAAAGTTGTTGCCATTGACCCGGCAGAGGAAAGGGGGGCAAGGAAGAAGATCATCCATATGTTTTTACAGAGTGAGCTCTCAAACCCTGAAACTCCTGAGAAGTGCCTGTATCTCCAGCAGAAAAGTTCCCACTAGCTGTAAGCCATTCAGATGGATAACAAGCAGGGCCAAAACAAGAGACGATTTTAAGTTCCTATCGCAGGACTTCCCATTATATTTACGGGAGGATCTGAATAAATCAATTCAGACCCCAATGTTCCTCTTTTCCCTAGGGTAATCTGTTACTAAACCTAAATGCAACATACTCCCACCAACTTACTTGCTGCTGCTTCTGATGGCAAAAAGGAATACACGAAATTTGCCAAAGAACTAAACTAAGCTACATCCCAGTGTGGTGCAAGTATCTACACAGAGACTGAATTTAGCCCATAGAGTGTTCTCCTTCAACTCTGGCACAAGATCATTAGTGAGCAAAGTTTCCACCACTGCTCAGGACATCTGTGATTTGCAACACTGCTGAACTGTTAAGACTTTAACACTCAAACCAGAAATATATAGAAGCATCAGTAGTGATGCTGGAGGTTAAAAACCAAGACTGTTCAGGGTTTTTATGAAGACTGGGAAGTAAGAAAGCCTATTAGCTTGTTTTTATAAAATAAACTATTATTTATTTCAGAACAATATAACTGAACTGAATATTTAGAGTAAAAACACAAACACTAAACAAAATAATATCTGGAGATAGTCTGAAAGTTTCTCCTACGTTACTACAGCAAAGCCATACCCGTGAAAATTTCCTTCTACTTAGAAAGATAACTTTTCAGCTGGCTAGGATCAGTTATGGCACCTTCTGTGTTTTGTCACAAAGGAAATTATTTTTAGGCATTCTGGAAGGATTCTCAGCAAAAATAAAGTACGTCATGGGCATGAAAAGGGGAGGGGAAAAAAAAGGAAAAGAAAAACATTTATACTTCTCATACTTCTTTATTATACCAGTAATAGTTCTTAAAAAATGTTTTCATAGAATTTTCGATCTGTTGCAATGACATGTTCTTATATTTGTACATGGAAATAACATTTTCAAAAAATAATCACTTTTAAAAAGAATTAATGGCTGTCAAAACACCAGTGGCTAAACAGTGCTAGACACTCTGTGAGTTTATAATCAATCAGTTCAACATTTTCTACTATGTTAGTTTTTCTATGACTTAATGACTGATTTTCCTTCTCACAGAATGACTTTGAACAAGTGGGAAGTAAAATCTTTATATAATAGCATGTAAACATAGCCTATGATTTTAGTCTCAAGGTCAGATTCCTAGAATACCTGTCAAGCCATTTTCTAGAAAACGATGCAGTGCTTGCCATAACTGAAACGCTGTCATATTTTGTGTACCTCAATCTTTAATCAATCAATTATTTTCTGGTTTTGAGAACTATGTATGATATAAACCCATACTGTACCAGGAATTCCATGTGTCACTGGTGTGTGAGAGCATACCAGACATCATGTGGGATTTTTTTATTGTATTTGACCACACATGCAGTGCAAACTGTTAACTTTTTGTATTTCTCCACTTATTCCCTCTGTTCAAATTTTTAAGCTGTTCTGCTTGAATGTATACTAAACACCACTACAGACCAATCTGAAAAAAGTATACATTTCTAGCACAAAAATGCATGAAGCTTAAACTGGGTAAATTCCTCTTAAACTGCAGCTAATTATCCCTTGCTTAAGAGTCAACATCCTTTTCTAAAGGTGCCTAACTTGGACAGCTAGACACCCAGATGCCTGGTCTACTACCTCAGCTCAGCAGCAAAGTCTTTATTTTAATAGGAACAGCTGAGGTGCTGGCAGAGTATTTATGGTGTATCCATATCATACTGGTTTGTACCCTCTTGCATGCTGGAACTTTAGTTCTTCAGTCTTACAGCATGTGGACTAGTTACACCTGGATTCTCTTCTGAAGTAGACAGGTACTTGTTTTGATGGAGAAATCTCCTCACAGACTAGAAGCAGCAGCAAAGTCCTCTATTAGGACATGAACACCCTGCTCTGCCAGCCCACCTCAGTCTTTCGAGAGGCTCCCCAAATACCTTGCATGTCCTCCCACAACCCACAGCTCAAACGTGGCATCATCACGCTGCAAAAATGTACCTCAAGCAGGCCTGCAAAACCTCGTTAGTGTAAAACCAGTAATGGATACAGATACGGGCACAGTGCCAGCACCAGGAGCAATCAGTATATGTAAGAATGACTAGACGGGAGCGGAGTACGTACTAGGCAGACTCATGTAACTAAGCCACAAAAGACAATGCTATGGCAGGACCACATCACAACATGACTGCTAGTGCAGTGTCAGTGCGATTCAGCTGCCTCCAAAGGATGGTGACGTGTACAGAATGAACTTGAACCCAAGCACATTCTTTGGTCCTACGAACAACATAACTAACGAAGAGTCTACCCTTAGAATACCCAAATAACGCACACAGCTCTCCTCAGTATTTTGGAGGGGGAAGAAATACCTAACAGAGTAGCAGCGCAGCTGCTGTGTATCTCCCAACAGGGAGATACACACACACAAGAAGAACTGAACCCTTACTTTTGTAGATGGTAGGAAGTTATTTAATGAGTAGATTGGATGCAAGGAGGAGTTGTTTCCCCAGTACTACTCTAGCCAGGCCACTGCAAATAAGGCAACCCAACACTATGCAAATGGTGGTGGGACTGGGAAGAGAGAAACAAGCACACAGAACCTTCCTAGTGATGCAGCTACGGCACGAGGCAGGAGCAGTATCTCCAAACCAGTCTTCTCTAAGTCAAACGAACACAGTTCAACTGACTAAACAGTCAGCCTCTGAAAGGCAAGCCACAGTTTTCTGCCTAAGTCCATTTCTAAAACATTTACAAATGAAAATATCAAACTAATCCTATTTTCAGGAGCAATTCTTCTACATTTCTGCGAAGTAAAAAGAGGAAAGACACGAGCACAGAATCTAAATTCAAGTAGAGGTCTCTCTTCTGGAAAAAATGGTATTTACAAAACAAAATAGAGGATAAGAGATTTAAGAAATCTTAAGACACCTTTGCACTTATTAAAGCCTTCATTCTTCTTTTTGTGCTGGATGTAGAGAATGCTCAGGGGACTGATGAAGTTTAACAAGGTTGCTGAGGGATGTTCCTCTCAGCTCAGGCCTGGCTTTCATGGGACTGCACAAGGCTATACTAGAAGTATGAGAGGTATTGCAGAGCTGATGCTTAAGGCTGTAAGAAAGAACCTATAATATGAAAAATATCAAGTTGGAATGGATGTTTGAATGAGTAACGCCTTCTTAATAAAGTTTCCTTACAAACCTTTTTCTACCGATACATATAATCTATGATAAGGAAAATATCTTATGAAGTTCTTCATTTGTAATATAAAAAAAACCAAAGTCTTTTAGAAGCCAGTTAAAACTGCTTCCAGTGGAAGAGAAAAACAAGGAAAAAATCCTGACTCTATACAGAAGTCACATTTATGATTTAAGATAGACATGTACAAGTAATTAATTTATCAGGTGAAAATTAAAGCCCTTTCCAGAAATTATATGCGCCTCTCTCTCCCACACATCTTTTTATTGCATCTTACAATCAGACAAATTTGACTGCAAGACTAACAGAGCCTGCCTTGTCTACAGACACAATGGAGAATTACAGAGACCACACCATGGGGGGTTTGTAAGGGTCCATGAGGCTCTTGAAGCATGGGGAAGCAAGGAGGGCAAGACCCCATTTCCACAGAGAAATAAAAAAATCTGCTCACTGAAGCCTATCAGAGAAATTAAAGAATGAGTTAATACTGGAGCCCAAGAAACCCGTTTCAGAGTTTCTGATATGAACACAAGGTAGTGAAAACCCTGCACGGTGAGGCCATGAAACCCTGAGGTACAAAGAAAGAACTCATCACTCAGAAAGATGGCCAAAGTAATGGTGTATAATGGCAATATAATCCATAAACAGATTCCTACAACAGGAACCTATGCTTCCAACTTTCTTTGTACAAAATGCACCTACTACCAGCCCTTATAATGCTCTCATGAATGTTATGCATGGGATAACGTGTGTGAAAATTTTACCTTTGAGCTACAGAAAACAATGCAGTCACCTTAAATAGTTCATATTTCACTTCTATTTCCTTAGATATACAGTTAATACCTCAATTCCAGCTTCATCACTTCAGGGAGGTCTCCAATCCTTATTTCTTCCACTTGCAGCTCATTAATAGCACCTAGGAGTTTTTGTTGATCTCCAGGATTTGTAATGCCAATCTAAATTTAAAGAGTAATTCCAAATATGACTGACTTTAATACTTACTAGCCATAACAGTACAGTGCTGTTTATTGTGCAAGTTTCTAATTATTGAATCAAAAGAAGTTGCTTTTAAGTTATTGCAACCAACTACAATGTATGTAACTGCCAAAAGAAAAAAATAAAACCACAGAAATTATTCAATGATGCAAAACAAAATTGCAAAAGCTGAGGAAGAGCCAAACTAAAATTGCACAGGATACTCAGAAAATCCATTTAAGGTTTATTAAAAAATTAGTAGCAGTTTTTGTAAGGACCCCTGTGCTGTTAGGATGTTATGCTCACCTATTTCAGAATCATCTCAGTCATCTCTTACAGCAAAATAACCCATGATGATGATGATGATGATGATACAGCACTAACTCAGAAAGAAAGAATGGAAACTACCAAATCAGCATCAAATTGACAATTTTACAGAAAAAGGACAGATTTTAAGAAGGGCTTTTACAAGCTTTTGGGTGTGTATTTTTTTCCAGTTAGCGAAACCGGTCTCATAAGATATGATACCTCTTTCTAAAACCTTATTTTCTTACAGAATTTCATTTCAAAAATAAGTTACTTCTACAAAGAAATCTAGTTGGTTCACACTACCCCCAAAACCTCAAATGATCAGAAACTAGTAGAGTGAGAGAATATGATCTGTTAAAAAGACATTCAGCTGGATGTTTCTACCATGGAATAGCCTGTAAAAGCAGCCTTTTTATATATCTGAAGGACAGCATGCTTACACACTCAGACTAGATTTCTCGCCTCAAATTAAGACCAAGCCTAAATACTACTTGACATCAGCTTATACAGTCCCTAAGCTCAATTCAGTTCATCTTCTATACTCTTGACTAATGCTGCAAACAACAACAGAAAAGTTCAGAAGTGTTCAAGGCTTTTTGTGTTTTTTAGCTGAAGAAAAGCACAATTTTCTTTGGAAGATATGCACTATGTACCTGAGGTTCCCCAAGTGATGCCTGGGACAGAAAATATTGTCAGCTGTGTTATCCATCAACAATCTCAGATTAAAATTTAACTCATATTTAAAACCTAGGCTGAGAGTTTTCTTGCAGAACACTGAAATAAAGAAAAAAAAAGTCTACTTGTTAAAAGGGAAGTGCTTCTGTGGCACATTCAGTACTTTTCCTTGCTCATCTGACAGGCTGCTGTGTAACACAGGACTTCTGATGTTTGCAGCCCTAAGGATGCTTCTCCACACAAGTGAAAAAACCTCGTAATGTCAGCTCCAAGTATGACTTTGTTCCTAACTCTCCAGCTGAGTACCTGGACTCAGGACTGGACCACTCTGGAATCTGAGACTGCAAGAATCCCAGAGTCTCCAAACCTAGAACATACATGGCTCTCACTGATGTTCTGAGGAGTCTGAAGTTCCCTGCTGCAGCCTCAGAAATCTGTACGATGTTAGCGTTTGCAGTCTCCTAACCTTCTGTAATTATTGAAGAATTTTGAATGAACAGCTGACAATACACATCAGATCAAAATGCCAGGCAGTCTCTCTTCCTCACATGGTGCCAAGCAGCAATTCTGCAGAAGTGAAGGTGCCCAAGAGAAATGCTTGCTTTGTGTGAGACTATCGTTTCTGATGCCCAGTGTTCATCATGGTTCCAGAAAACAGTCCTCCAGGTTCTCCACCAGGTGTTCAGAAATGACAGGTAACATGTAACTATGGGCTTACAAGTGTGTCTTCAAACATTTCAAAACCACGTTATAAGTCTAGAGACAAGTAAATTCTTCAGTAATGTAAAATCCCAACAAGACTAATTGGGAGTTTAACTACAGGTATCAAGAACTTTTGAGTTTCCAATAGGTTGCCATGGGTACCTGAACAAATTGTACTCAAGTCTCTTAGGTAAATATCACTAGCAGCCTTAAGAGAGAAAGATCTGGCTTTCCTAGAAATAATTTGCTTTACTTATGTTGAGCTGTAAGTTTGCCTAATTTATTAGTTCTCAGGTTTGCCTTGCGGAGCCCTATCTGGTATGAACTAATGTTTTCTTAACGCTTACAAAGCATTACAGCAGTCATTTCATGCCACAAAAGTAAGCTGATTTATACAAGAGAAGCAAGTTTACTTTTAATTATAATTAACAAATCAACTGAGCTCTTCCAAGGACAGAATGGCAGTTATTCTTGAATATTAAAATTATCTTGCTTAAAGCAGGAACTATTGTGGAGATTGGGATTGCTTTTGACTCCATATTCTTATTCCTGGAACAAGCAAATCAGGATACAGCTTTCTGACCAGTGTAGCAGGAAGACACTGTATTTTGTTTCCCTGTAAATAAAACATAACTTCATCCTTCCGCAAACTGATCAGTGACTGAGCACCACCACATCTTGAAGATATGGTTCAGGAAATAAGGAATATGATAGAAGTCATCATAGACAAAGCCTTCCACCACCATAGTAATTCTGAATTCAGAGGTACTAGGTGCAGAACTTAAGAAAAAGAAAGTAGATAGACCAGTTCAAACTACTTCCCAAAGCAGACATATTTTGCCTTTCTAGACCTTCTCTGCTGAACATGAAGGTTACCCAGAACTTGACTACTCATGCAATGATGAATGCATAGAACAAGCACAGTGCAAGAAGACCTTCTTCCTTATGGATAAGCAAGCTTTTAAGTTGGTGTTGGTTCAATTACACTCTGCAGTCCAAATAATGCAGATATTATTGTGAAGTGGCCATATGTTTAAGAATGCACAAGTGTTGTACAAGAACTTGCTTATATCTGTAAACCAGACAACCCACAGTCTAGATTTTGATTTTAGGCACATCAACTCTAACAACATCTATTTTATTCTTTACTTAAATAAGTAAAACCCAACCCCTGAAAATACACCCCCTACACTCATGCTCCAGCATCAACATGACTTTTTTCTGTCATCCTTTACATCGAATCAAAAGAAGAGGTGAATAACAGATCGCCTCAACACATGGAAGGTGACATACTTCTCAGATAAAACCAGTGGGGTTATGCATGAATGCTTACATCCTTGCCATCTTGCTCAAGTGGCCACTATTTTTAATAACCTGACAATTTTCTGCCAAATATTAAGTGGTTTTTTTGCAGGGAGCGGGGGCCAAGGAAGGAGAGTCCTGGAACTGTGATATGGAAGCACACAGACCAGATTAATTCTCTAATGATGAAGTTAAACTCCTGGGTTGTATTTTGAATTTTGGTAGTTCATTATGCATTCTCACATCCAGAACAGGATGCCAATTTCTCTTCTTCTAAACTAATAAACGTGTGAGAAAGGAAACATCTTAGTCCTGAATACATCAGGAAGTAAAATTACTTCTGTCACTGTCTTGTGAGACAAATGCTTAAAGAAACCAGACAAAAAAAGATCTGAGTGCTATGAGCAGCACAGAATCAGACAAAAACCTCCAAATGTTGAATAGACACGTCCCAGTATATTGAACAGACTTGTCTCAGTATGGAACAGTTTATAAGCTTAAGGAATGCAAGGATTTCAGCTTGAAAGAGTCATTGTTTAGGCTCTGTTGTAGAATACAGATAAAGATATTTACAGAGAAAATATCTTTCTGATATTGTTTGATGGAGGAAAGTGTATCATGTTAGTGACAGGATTTCTCCCCAGTTCTCTGGATACAAAGCAGCTTGGTTCAGAGGCATCCATCAGAAGTCATCATTAATCTTTGTAGTAATAAGATCCAGGCTCTTTAAGAGAGCTGGCTGTTAGTTGAAGATCTGCCATCACGCTAAAAACTTTCAACTCTGGAGTTACGAGGAAACAGATTAGATTTGGTCTATCAGCAGTGTGGGGAGAAACGGTTAGTAGAGCTCTAAAACTAGACTGCATCAAGAATTTAGGATAACTTACAAAGCGCTAATAAGACAGGAGTGTTATGTCATTTTTTTAAATTCTCAATTGAAGACTCACCGATTAATTTATGTCCATGCACAAAGCACAACTTATTTTCCAGGACCTGTTTCCTGCCGTTGCAGAGCTAAGAGGCAAAACAATTCTGTTCCTACAGATATTATCTTCCTGCGCAAGAGCAGCTGATCCATGTATTTACTTCAGTTTGTCCAAAAAAGCCCTCTTTATAATAGGGAGCCCCAAACATGTTAGAACACTGAACCAGAAGTTACCAGTTTGTGTGAAATTATACCTCCTTGGTGAAGGAACCATAAGGCTTAGCCATTCACTAAAGCCCAAAATTCTTTCCCCCTCCCTCAATGTCCCCTGGACAAAACCAATGAACGATTACAGCATCAAAACAGGCAACCAATATGAACATATACTCAGTCACATTTGCAGTTTAATGCAATCACGAGCAAGACAGCAGCTCACACAGTGATGAGAAGAAAGCTACAAAAATCTCCTTCAAGACCAAAATTCCTGTCAACTGGGGCTTTAGGATTCATATAAAGACCACACCAGGATGCTGTTCAATGGGCACGATCCTGAGGCTTCAGAAAAGCAGTACATCAGAACACCGTGAGATGCGTTGTAATATTTAGGTCTAAGTGAACTCTTAAAAATCTCTTCATCGACAAAGCTCCCTATATGTGCACCCTCTGAGAATACAGAATTACTTCTGGGCTTTGTCAAAACACTGAAACCCTACTCAGTTACAAGACAAAACTTCACGCAAAACACCCTTGTGACACCAACTCTGAAGGAATATTAACATCTGTATGCAAACATTGGTTCCAGCTGCTAGAACACATGCCTCCTTGGTACAAGAATAGGGGGAAAAAAGCTGACACTGAGGACATGGCTAGCATCAGTGGCAGGGAGCAGGCTTGAAGCAGCTATTTTAACGAGGAGTCTTTGGTATCCCAGACCAGGTACAGAGTGCTCAGAAGAATCCTGAGGCCTGAAGTACTTATGTTGTTCCAAGGAGACTTCTATAATTGGATTTTATTATGGCATCCTCCTGTAAGCACAGGAAGTCTTTCATTTCCCACAGGAATAATTCCAGCGAAGACTAAGGAAAAGCAACCACCCTATCTCAACTGGAAACTAAAACCCTGCAATAATGCATCACTTACTCGTGGATAACAGCAAAACACCAACCCTCCTAGCTGCAGTAAACTGTAAGAAACCAAATCGTCTCTCCTTCTCTTTTTTTCTTTCTTCATATCTCACACAAACCTGTGTGGGATATGAGATTCCACAATGTAAGTGAGCTCTCATTTTTCCAACAGAAATTACCACCTCACAAAGGAGGCCCACATTTAAAGTAGTTGTTTAGGATTATCTACTGCTAATCCCAGCACTGATTTCCTTTCAGGAAAAACATACTTAAATACTAAAGTGGTAAGAACTAGAATTTAAAACAGAACTATTTCCTGCTCACCCCAACTCCCACATCATTGCAGCAAAGAAATACTGGGGACTTCCACTTCATAGTCAGTTCTAGGCAGAGAATTCAACTCACAGATTTCAAGGCTGATCTGTGGGATTACATACTTTAGAAAAGGCATATTCACATTAAAAATCAAGTAGTTGCAAAAGATTCTGAAAACAGATCTTAAAAAAAGAAAAAGTAGCCTTACAAGGTTAGACATTTATAAAGAGAAGACATTAAAAATATTTAATAAACAGGAGAGAACTAAATTAAGTTCTAAAATAGTAAACTGACCTGTATTAATTCATCTTTTTGCATGATCAGAAGTTGTCTTAAAGCTATATCTCTTTCCTGTATAAAACAAAGGGTTTTCTGCCATCAAAAAGAATTTCGGAAGAAAACACTGTTTTCACTTAATTTTTTTCACTTATGTGTTACTTCAGTTTTCAGAAACAAAACAGCTACACAACACCATTATCAAAGTAATGAGAGTTCTCTAGTTTAGAAACATCACACGTTGTCATTAATGAACATAATCAAAATTAAGCAATCCAATCCAGTCCACTTAACGCTTCATAAACTTCTGTTTAATAAATATATTTGGATTAATTTAATAAATTTATTTGAATTAATATACTATTAGTGACAGAACTTTTTTTGATGCTGTAGATGTGTTTTGCTTTCACGGATTACTTTACAGACAGCAGATACACCACAAACTTACCTTCAATAATCCTATTATGTGTTCTAGACCAAGACCATGTAAAAACACTTCCATATCATCAAAAGTTGAATATGAACTGTAAATAAAATTAATGAGATTCAAGATCAAAACAGTGGAAATTAAGAAAAAAAAAAAAAAAAAGATGACGACATCCAGAAAAAAATATTATAGAAAAACACCTGAGACAAAGCACTGGGGAGCAACGTAAAGTTGTACACACCTACTGATGACAGTAGTATTTCAGAGGCATCATGGGGTACAATTTAATCTATCAAAATCTTATAAATGGCTTTTCTGTCTAATGAGTTGAATTGAGCCTAAAGGGAATGATTTAATAAATAAATCTCATTTTAAGTAGCAAAATGTTCCAACTGAACCTTAAAGTTGGGTCGCAAAAGCCTGAAAAATTTGGAAGTGGGGTTAAGGAACATAACAGTATTCTTATCAGTTAACATTCATATAAATTGGATTCAGCCCACAACCGTTACCCTTCTGTTTCCATTTAAACAAAAAACGGTTATCAAGAAAACAGGAATGTCTATAACTAAAGATAGTGGAAATTAGTCCAGGAAGAAATTTGTTGTCAGAAGACTACTCTTCAGAAGGTAGACTGAGGAAGTAGTATAACCCACTGTAGGTTCAGAGTTTAACATTTATAAGTGAACGTAAAATATCAATTTCAATTCCCCGCCCTACCAAAAGATATAAAAATATAAAGGGGAAAAAAGATATCAAAACAGCTTTCAACAATCAGATGAACAACTATAATGAGCAGGATTAAACCAAAAAGCAAATCGTATGAAATGCAGAAAGGACTAATGCAATTGCTACAGCGAATCCTTTGCCAAAACCCTGAGTTAAGAGATAACTTTTCTCCATCTTATTGTAGGACCTGAAATGAAGGTTTGTCCCCCCGCCCCCTTTTCACATCAAAGACTTAAAGAGCTCCTATTAAAATTTGTTAAAAACAAACAAACAAACCACAAAACAGCAAGTAGACACCACTACCCCTGGCAAAAATCCCCAAACAAACCTCTCTGAAAATTGTTCTGAATACATAAGACAATATTTCAGGTTTGCACATTGAGAATCTTGCATTCCAGGATTTCTGGTATTTAAGTATACTTATCCCTTTACAAGGATGGACACCCTAAATCTTATATGGAGTAGTTTATGCAACTTCCACACTGTAACAAGTCAATAATTCTGCAAGCACGCCTTCTGTCAGCAGGCAAAATATAAAAAAAGTTTAAAAGAATTTTAATAGAGTTTAAAGCCATCATCCCTATGATGAAGTTGTATAGAATTGTGTTATCCTCTGCCCGATTCCTCCCCACCGCTCAACACACAGACAGCAACAACCAGTCTTTGAAGTAAGCAATTCACATCCTAACATTGTACATACAGCCAATGCCCATCAACTGGCAAGAGGAGACAGTGTGTGAATGACCTCCAGTGATGAAATCTTTTTACTTAGGCATTCAAAGTGCTCACTTTGCAAAGGTTCTGGGAGTCCTTGGGTAACTCAAGACTTCTGGTTCTGCTAAAGGTGAAAGGAAAGGACATTTTTTCCCAGGATCAAAGAAATGGCTATTCAGGATCCAGACAATAACTTGACAGCCCCTGAACCAGAAAAGGACCTAATCCAGGAGCTGAAGAAAGCAAATTCCCAACAGGTACGTGCATTTCCTTGTATAGCCCAGGGCTCTGGAGCCAGGACAACTGTGTAATTAGGATGGCAGATAGCAATGACTCAAGCGACACTCACTACCTAAGGATGACAAAAGGATGACAACAGCAAGGATGACAAATTATACTCACTGACCCTGCATGGTGGGACACAACTGATACCCAGTACCAGATGATGCATTAGGAGTAACTAAGAGAACAGGGACTTGAGAAGACAACTGGCATTGTCTGTGATGAAAATCATGCAGGCAAATGGCAGGAAGGAGACATCCAGCCCAAGGAACTATGATGGAGTAAACACAGGTATCAGTGTACCTCTTGGCTATCACTAGACGAAAAAACACAACTCACTAGGGGGTGGGTATACACGTGTGTGGAAACGGATAAGCTATATTTGTAACAACAGGTGTTTAACAGCCGGACTTCTGGTATACTCCAGGGGACTGCTTCCTGAAACCAAGAGTTCTACCAATTACCAGAAATCCTCAAAGTTATGGAACGTCAGAACTAGCTATTGTTAATATAAAAATCCTTGAGCTTGACAGAAATGCCTGTTCATACAAACAAATCAGTTGCTCATCTGATGCAGAGAAAACCAGTAGATTTTAGAAAAAGACTGCTGAAATGCTGTGAAATCCTGGAAGCCCAAGAAGTGCTTAATACAGAATTACATTTGCATAGCTAGACATCTGCCTGCCACAAAGTATTTTAAGCGGGCTTCAGGATTTCAGTGTCTTATTTTAAAACCTTATCAAGATTACCCAAACACTGGTAGAACGCCTTCTAGCCACTGTCGGGTTTCAACAGCACTAAATCCATTTGGATAACTGCTGTATAGTGCTAGTTTATTTCCTTATACCAGAAATAGCCTGGGAAACTTCCTAAATAACCTAAAGCTATTAAAAAAAAGAGAGAGATCTGTTCTAACACTGAGGTCATTAAGTACAGACTCTATCTAGGAGTACAAATCTTTGTGCAGAGTACAAGACGACCAATCTATTTAAAAGAATGTCACCTCCACAGCAAGTATACAGGGACTCAAAACATGATCCTCAGGGAGCAAACAGATCCCATGGGAGACCTAGTTCATAGATGGGGAGATACGCCCAGAACAATGCCTTCAGGAATCTATGAGTAGTAAGATGCAAGAACAAAGAGGACAGCATAGATAATTGATTTTATTGTGCACAGCCCTCTGCTCCAAGAAGTACCTCTAAGACAACTGTGGTTGACGCATCAGAGAATAAAAATCTGACATATACATTCACCTAGCAACAGAACCTGGTGAGGCTTTGTCCAAACTGAGGTACTCTGTCCGAGACTGTGACTACTGTAATTGTATGAGGTTTAACAAGGCCAAGTGCCGGGTCCTGCA